CTATCTACTTAACCCTGAGGGTCCAAGGACCCAAATAATAGGGTCTTAGGGCCCAAATACCATTAATATTGTAGTATTTGGGCCCTAAAACCCCATTATTTGGGTCCTTCGACCCTTAGGGTAAGGCGGGCGATACATATATGTATCTATGACAGGCGGCCTTAAACCCCAAACACTTCCCAAAACAAATCCCAGTTCAAAAGATACTCTGCTATACGTTTACTACTGTACTACAATGGTTTCTCAAGTGCTGCGGTTGGAGATTTAGGGGGGTTCGGGCCTAAGCCCCAAACCCTAAACCCCATATACCCATATATACTTTTATACCCTTATATAACCCCTAAACCCTAAGCCCTATAGCCCATCTATCCTTATATACCCCTATTTAACCCCTAAACCCTAAGCCCTAAACCCCATATATCCCTATATACCCCTATATAGCCCCTAAACCCTAAACCCCGTAAATCCCTATGCACCCATACATAACACCTAAACCTTAAGCCCTAAACCCCATATATCCGTATATAACCCCTATATAACACCTATATAACACCTACATAACCCCTCTAAAGGTACCCCAACACAAAGGATCCCGGAGCTCCGGTCTGACATTGCGATACCACACTTCTGCGCCTGGATGTCATACCTGAGCTATAGTCTAAACTTCTTGAAGGCGTTGGATAGGGGATAATATAGGGGACTACTCCAGGGAATATGAAGCTATAGTCTAGATTCCTGAAACGGGGGTTATACAGGGGATTATATAGGTTTTAGGATTCAGGGTTTAGGGTTTAGGCTCTAAACTCCTTAAAGGGTGGCTATTTAGGGATTATATAGGGTTTCGGATTTAGGGTTTAGGGTCTAAACTCCTTAAAGGTTGGGTTGTATAGGGGACAGTACAGGGGCTTACTATAGGGGATGTCAAGCGGGACACTAGGAGTTTAGAGTATGGAATACCTGGGTGTGGAGGGCATGCGCTGTGGGGTTTCAGGGTTTTAGGGTTGGAGTGTAGAGTTAAGGGTTCAGAGTGTAATGTTTTTAACTTTGGCGCTTAGAGTTTGAGGTTCATGGAGGCTCTACTGTGCCTAGAGGTTGCAGGACGTTCATTATTGTTGTTGTTATTATTATTATGTTGTGCTGATACTATCCTTCTTGTTCTTGCTGTTTATGCTTATTGCTATTAGAACTTTCTGCGCTTGTTAGGAGTTCATGGTGTAGCATAGTTTAGGATTTGGGTCCAGGGTTTGGAGTCAGGCTTCAGAGTGTTGAGTGGTTTTCTTTGGGTATTATGGCCGTTAACGCAAACTCTGCCAGTAGCCGCTACCCGCTTCAGACCTGCTGTATCCTCCCTTGGCACCCTAAACCCTAAACTACTCAGTTCAAAGCATTGACGGTCGGGCGCTCGTTATTGCGGCTAGGAGGTGGGGTTCAAATGTCTGGTTTTTTCCTTTATGAGGACCCTTTGATGGGGACTTGGCTGCGCATTCGGAGCACGGATGCCTGTATCCTTATAGAGTTTGCAGTCTCTTTCAAAGGGTCCCGAGGACACCTCTATTTCCCAGACTCCCTCCTGTAGGTTCCCTGGGCAAGCTTCAGACGGTCAATGTGTGGATCGGAACTGCTGGTACAGTCACCGCACTCCACTACGCGCCTGGGTGTCAACTTCAAGCGGTTTAGGGTTCAGGGCCTGGATTGTAAGTTTAGGGCTTGGGGCCCACCGTCCTGAAAGGCTCGTGGGCAGTTACCAGTACGTAGGGTCAGAAGTACCCTCAAGTAGTAGGTAATTAATAAGCGAAATTATCCTGCTTATGTCTTGTACACAACTACATATGCAACTTCAAGGTTAAACAGTTGACTACCATCGTGGTACGCAAGTCCGGGAATGAATGCCAAGGTTCATACTTATTCTAGCCAACAGGATCTCGAGAAAAACCTTCACATCCCAACTGACGGAAATTGCAGGCCTTGTCTAATGCTTAGGCACATTGCTGTGCTGCAGTTTCGGATGTGCCTTGCACTCCCAGCTCCCACTCTTGAGTTTCTGCCAGTTGGTGAGGGGTGAGATGCCAGACTGGGGCCGTGCATTGTGATGCACTTTTCTTAAACCTTAAACCCTAGGGTTTGGGGTTTGAGTGTTGGGCTTTGGGGTTGGTAGCCATCAGAATATCTGTGCTTGGGTTTGACAAGTTTTGGAGCTTCAGGGCGCGGGATTTAGGCACTGGGGTCAATTTAGGGTTCAGCTATAGGGGTTGTGTTTTCATGGCTCGGCACCGTGCGAGCGTAACCTCGAAACTGTAGTGCCTGCAACCCTACACCCATGGCCCCCAAAAAATCCTGAGGCCTTGACTTAAACTAGCAATGCTATCAAGAAACAATCGTGACTCACCAGCTACCAAAGTAGGAAGTAGGGGAACTCCAAAATTAAGAATATGTTCCTGAACGGCAACGCAGACCACTTATAAACCCCCATGTCCTAAGCCGCCGTCACCCCGCCCAAGGACCTCGACGACAATTTCCTGGTTCAAGTAGCTGGCTTTAAGCACCTTGACAGCATCTACATAATCCCTTGCGACCACGTGGCCCTACATGGGACCTTCCTAAAGTTGCGGGTACCTTTTTGCGGGCCCCCATACTTAATAAGAGTTTTAGTATATTGGGGTCTATATTGCACCTCCTTGGGGAAACTGCCATATCATCTCTGGACAATGCCTTATAATAGGGTTTTACAGGATTATCTGCCGACCTGAGGCTTCCCAGCCTCACGTTTGAACTGGGTTGCTGTTAAGAAGCTTAATTTATGTTACTATATTGGGGAAACCCTGCTAATTACTCTATATATATATATACACTCATGTTGGTAACTTAATTTAAGTTCCTTATCAGCAACCCAGTAGATTTAGGGTCAGGGCAAGAGCAAAGGGGCTTTCCAGCATCAGGAGAGGATCGATTGCAACGGGGTTTAGGGTTTAGGGGGAATAGGTTGCAATGGGATCTAAACGGCCCCGTTATATAACCTACTTCACCCCTACGCCCCCCCTGGTGTTTAGTGGATCCAGGACTGGAAAAGCCTGCATGAGCTCTGGCCGCGCTACACTTGTGAAACACAGTGTGGGCATTGCCAAAAGAGCGGGCCCTGTCAATGTACCCAGAAACGCCACGATCCTCAGTGTAGGAATCCCGCGAAAGGACCTCGCGTTTTTGGAAACCCGCGCATACGGCGTAGTATTAAGCAATGCGCGGATGCCAGGCCTGATTCTATATACAAGTATGCATGTAATGAGGCAATGTGAACAGCTTGTTGAGTTTAGCGAATGCTTTTTTTTCTCTCCCACTGGCACGCTAGGCTTGGCTAGTGCTTGGACTGTGAACTTCTTGGGTATCAATGGCAAGTCTCTTTGGTGGCGTTTTACCAGGTCGAAGGTTGTACCTGTAGGGTGATGCATCCCGTAGGCGCAGGAACTCCTAGCACCTTTAAGCAACTGTGGCTTTCGGGGCCTAATCTTTTCTCAAATCACCTCAAAAATTCAAGAAAATGAGGTATGTGCGCCTCTATGCGTTTGGGGAGTCCGACAAGCTGTATGCGCAGGTGGGGAAATCAACTTGAGTAAAGAGTAAAGGAATCCAAGCGAGCGAGAGCTGTGGGCTCTTCAATGCAGAGGCTTTAGGCTTGGGATTTAGGGTTTTGTATTTAGTGTTTAAGGTTTAGGGCTTTGGATTTAGGGCTTAAGGTTTAGGATTTAATCCCCGGCGGCTGAAGGTGGACTTGGAGCATCCTGGGACGTAGTACGTACTTCCAACTGGGTTATACTTTTGATGGAGGAAATCCTGCACCAGCTTAAGTCCTTAAAGTCCTGAAAATTACAGTAGTTAAGAAGCTCAAGTGGTGCAAGGTTTCCTCCATCAACAGTAGGCCTGCGTAGAATCCCCCTAACTCACCTATATGGGTAACCCAGTTATGTGTAGTTTCATAGCTGCTAGGGGTGGTTGCTAAAAGCCGTAAACCCTTACAAGAAACATCCTGGGCCGTTCTGCTAAACTCTGCCACGGAATGGAAGCTTCTTTTCCGAAAACATTGTGAAGACCACCGGAATCCGCGTATAATCTTTGTATATCGCTAGGATTTCTCGGGTCCCCCCCTTTTTAAACAAAAACGTGAGGATGCACCGCGAGACCGGGGAAAGAAGCATGGCGCCTCCTTTTCCCCCGTCCGTGTGGAGTTGCCAGACCTCGAGGTGGGCAGGTTTCATGGCTCAGGGCTTTGAAGGTTGGATTTTTAGAGATTCGTAGAGTTTACGGCTTGGGGTTTGGGGTTATAGGGCTTAGGGGGACCTTATGGGTTCCCGCTTTAGTTTGGCAGACTACTGGGTTCTGGATTTCAGGCTGAGGCTTCAGGACTGGAGTTCTAAAGAGATCTTATGAAGCAGGGGAAGAATATCAGAGGATTCCAAGCAGTAAGCTAACTGGAGACACCCACCTAGGACAGGTCTGAGGCTTAAACCTGCAACCGCACATGTGGGACCTGAAAGCCAAAAACGAGGCCCTTAAGTCCCGTAATACGTCTTTAGTTGGATTATTAAGTACCGGTTGCAATTGGGTGACAATTACCCTGAACATACAGGTGGAGCTTCAAACCAATCTCGTGCCACAAGAGCTGAAACCCTAGCCCGAACGCGCGGCCAGCATAAGCTGCCAGCCCTAAGCCGCAAACAGTTGTACCTACAGAATCCTCAAGAGGGCCTGTTCTACTGGGATTATATAGGGGTTTCTATAGGGGTTATAGGGATAATGGAAAAGAAAATGGAAGCTAGAATATTATTATAAGGTTATATAGGGGTTTCTATAGGGATAATGGAAAAGAAAATGGAAGCTAGAATATTATTATAAGGTTATATAGGGGTTTCTATAGGGGTTATAGGGATAATGGAAAAGAAAATGGAAGCTAGAATATTATAATGGGATATATAGGGGCCATGACCTCGTTATATGGCCCACGCTAACATGACTCGGGATTCTCTAAGGGTGGCTCTCTCTTGAAACCCTTAAGACCTCGACTCCAAAGCCCTGAGCCTTAAACCTTATAAACCCCATCCAACCTTGGCCCTGCCCCCCCCCCTCTCCAAGTCACCCCCTCCCCCAAAAAAGGCAGATTCCGTCCCACTGACCCCACCCCTTTCACACACGTGCGAGGCCTATCCAAACTTCGCCACAGCATCCTACTCTGAAACTTTGCTGGGCCCCGGGGAGATGCTGCTCCTCGCCATGCAGCCTCTGGATTTTCTATGTGAGCCATAGTGTAAACTCCTTAAAGGGGGTTATATGGGGGATTCTATAGGGACTACTCTATGGTCTATTAAGGGGGATATTAGGAGTTTAGACTATAGCTCAGGTGCTATCTACTTGACCCTGGACCATAAAAGGAGGCCCTATAGCTTTTGGGGCACACGCTTTCCTGTGAAAAAAGTACGATTCGAAGCGGGCAGGGTATGGGATGTAGGCGGTTTGCCGCTTGAATCATGTCAGGTTCATTCCGAAGAAATGCTGGCACTATGTGCGTTCCGTCACGACCTCCATCTCGGTTAACTTCTGGTTCTGACTGCGCGGCCGAGCGAAAGGAGAGACAAATGCCCGTGTTCGCCTTCTTAACCGCCATACCGAAAAAAGGGTCTTAAGGTGTTTATATGGTACAAAGTATTATGAATTTGTAATAAGGTCTGGGTTAGTACCCCCTGTCCAGGTACTTAGGATCCCTTGAATTACTAACCACAGGCCATAGGCTAAAACCCCCACCCCTAAACCTTAAACCCCAAACCCTAAACCCTACACTACCCAAAGGCCAGAGGCTGGCTACGAGCTCTCAAGTGGCCTCAAACAATCGCACCTTGAACTCCTCTTGGTGCCTCTATGGGCTTCCTGAGGAGATTGTAGGGGGTGCTGCCAAAATTATGGTCCCTGGCCTTTGTAATATGGCCCTCAATGTTAAGGGTTGCTGGAGAAACCAGACACAATGCCCGAAATCCTCAGGGCCGCTGGGTTTCTCTGGCGCCAGAGTACTACTATATTACTATTGTTATTGCCATTACTATTTTGACAATTACTATTATTACTCATATTGTTCAATATCAGTGTTCTTGTTGTTGGTAGCAGTAGAAGTGGCTGTTGGTGGTGGTGGTGTTGGTGTTGGTGTTGGTGGTGGTGGTGGTGGTGGTGGTGGTGGTGGTGGTGGTGCTGCTGCTGCTGCTGCTGCTGCTGCCGCTGCTGCTGCCCCTGCTATTGAAACAGTTTCGT